TTAACAAGTTTTCCTGTGATCCTACTTGATTCCTTGTTACTGTAGTTTGTTTTGCTATTAAGGATGGATCTGCAGCGGATCGTTTTGGGTCATATTCAGCAAGTTTTCGGTTATACTATTGCATAAAATTTGGAGGAGCCGAAGTAAAGGGTTCCTGGGAGAAATATATCTGTTCTTATGTCCCAGCCAGTTGTAAGTCACTGGTTGCTAGCGAGATTAAGGAAAAATATCTCTTTAGGCAAAGAATACTTTCTGAGAATTTTTCCCAKGAAAATAAAAATTTCCTAACTAAAAAAATAAACTTGAGAAGTAAATAGCAGCATCATTTTGGCAGTGGATCAAAGGATTCTTTGATTGTATGTTTCTTTGTGCTCCTTGGGTTGTCCGGCTAAGAAGAAAAGGCGTGACATTAAATATTAAATTGAGATTATCAATAATGTAGCTCAAAATCCCTTTCCCAGGAAAAAATTCATACAGTACAAGAACAGTTATTTAGAAGAACAGACCACGTCGGCTCCTCCTGTAAAATKTAGATATCGATTCTTCCAGCTGATGGAACAGGAATGATGGCATTGATAATTAAATTCCTTTTGGGTTGGTCCAGTCAGTTCTGACAAATATAATGTGGAAATCCCGTCCCTGATATGCCTCAAGCCTTGTGACGTGTTGTGAAGGTCTCAATCTGGAAGTAACCCCCAAAATACCCAGTAATAGATTACATTACAAGCCCAAACAAAATATCGCACGTGAATATCGAGAGACTACAATTCTTTCACAGTTCTATATGAAATTATTATTTAAAAAAAAGCGAGATCATGAATAAGATCAGAGATTTTCAMGTCGATTTCTTCGAGAAGCATATCTATTGATTTGAACATACCTCGGAACAGTTTTAGATTCTTCGCTGTCAAGTCCTCTTCAGCTTCTTGCAGGGCTTTCGCAGAATGAGKGAAAATAAACGAGAGCAAAATACTTCATTTGAATTGTTACACGTCAAGAGCGACAGACAAAAGATTCAAATGAGTATGAATCGGTTCTTTGGAACAGACCCGTGGAAATTCTTCACGCTGAGCCTGTCCTCGGACTCCAGNAGTATTCCTAAATGAAGATTGAAGCGGCCATGGTTTTCAGAGGTCAAAGATGTAGCCGTGTTGACATCGCTGGCACAAGCTGGCGCGACGCCAACTATGCCGGCTTTGCAAACTGTCTGACTCTTGAACTTTTTAAAATTACTACAATTAGAATCAGTCTATTCATATTTTTACTTTGTTTTATAGCGCAAGTATGAAAAAGGAAAGACTATCAGAGTGAACGGTTTAATATCCTTTAAGCAAAGCTCGTTAACTTAAACTAGCCCGATTGAGTCACGTTTGCATTATTGCCGTGTGCGTGATGTTTATTGTGTTTACACTTTTAAAGATTTCTCAAAACACATTGTATATCTAGAGAGCTAATCCCGTTTCGTTTCGTTTCGTTGAATACAGATTCCCGTTTCGTTTCGTTTCGTTTCGTTGAATACAGATTCCCGTTTCGTTTCGTTTCGTTTCGTTGAATACAGATTCCCGTTTCGTTTCGTTTCGTTTCGTTTCGTTTCGGCGATTATAGTAAGTCGGCATTTGGCATTCGATGGTTGTAGACAAAAGTTGTCTATGATGATGATCCTTCCCTCGCTATTGGAGGTGAGGATATAAAACTAAGATAAGAGCGAAAAGAAGAAAGACTCGATAAAAAGGAGAGTGAATAGATAGGTATTAGCAGCGTCTACTAGTAGACGCCATGCAAATTAAAAGAAAGACGTTTACCATCAAAATGCAATTTTGTGAACTTTGGAACTAACTATTTTAGGGCATTATCTGAATGTTAAGTATTCAGGTATATTACCCTCCTCTGGTTCCGCATCATCAGCTTCTTCAGAGTTTTCTGGAACACGAGCATCTTCTTCAACTGCGACCGACTTCTTCAATAAATCTGTCAGTATAAATGTCAGTATAAATGTCGACAAACCATTGCTATATAGCCTTAAATAGCGCTGGGCATTCATTAGTAGAGCGTTTATATATAAATTGGTTAATGTGTTTCGTGTTTGTATACAATGACTGTAAGACTCTACATTAATAGAATATATTACTGTAAAAAGACATGAAGCGCGCCCCCCGAATAGTTCATTATTCACTGCTTTATTGGATTTTTCATTTTATATTTCGAGTTGTATAATGGTGTTTTGAGGGGGGGGGGGGGGGGGGGGGGGCTTCATGTCTTTTGACTGTAATAAACTCGCTTACCATCGTTTTCATCTGGTCGAGGTTTCATAATAACCATTGATGAAGCAATGGAAACAAGAGCCAAGCTCACCAACAAAATCAGTTGAATATTCATGGTTTATGTCGAGCTGTAGGGAGAGAAATATCACGAATGCTCCATTTTCGAATTCAAAGCGAAAAAGGGATGCTTTTTTTATAGTAGGAGATTCTCTTGCGCAAAGACCTCTGACATAAAAGAAAGCACGATAAAATGTCGCCATTACAACAGCCTTGAAAATTTTCATTTTCCCCAAGTTGAGACTAACCCTGCTGGAACAGGGAAGATTACAGTGATATTAAAATTGTTTTGTCCAGTAATCTGACAAATGTGGACAGTCCGTCCCTTATCGTGAAGGTCTCGAAAATGGACGACATTGCAAGCCGACAAAACTTTCACATCATAGGGCGTATAGAGTATTAATAAAATGCGGAATTTAATGAGAGATTTTGTCTTCGACTAGATAAGCTATTATTTTGACATGTTTTGAACAAACCTTAGTGCTAGATTTTCTGTCAAGTCCTCTAGTCAACTAGAGAGTTGTACCTTCTTTCAGGGCTTTCGCAGAATGAGGGAAAATAAATTAATACAAAATACCTCATTTGAATTATAGGCTCTACACTTCAAAAGCGACAAACAAAAGGTCCTTAAGCCATGAATCGGTTCTTTGAAACTGATTCAATTCAATTCAATTTCAGTCTAGAGTGCAAGTCACATAAGCATGAAACAATTCTTAACTATGTAGTGCTAAAGAAGATTTAGTTATCAACTAACTAAGAATTGAGAACAATGCTACAAAGGAATTTAACTGATAATTGACATTGTGTTTATGCTTTGTTGAATTCTTAGTTAGTTAAATCTTATTTAGCAATACATATTAAGAATTGTTTCATGCTTATGTGACGTGCACTCTATTTACAAGATAACAGATGATTTGCAACAATAAAATATAGTTGAAATAATGACCCTTGGAAATGTGCAACCTACTAACCTACGGTTACCTTTGATATCAAAAGCTCTAGCTTTCTCTTCACTTGACGTCTTCAACGCCAAGTTAAGCAGCAAGAATTTCAATGATTTTAGGCACAAAGTGCTGCCGCGGTATATGAGAACCTAGACTCCTCCGCAGGCATCACTAAGAATCACGGGCTTCCTGTCTTTTTGAGGAGTCAAAAGAGGGAGAATGGGGGCGAGAAAAGGGAAGCTCCTCCTCTATCTCGTCACTAGTCCCTCACGGCCATTATGACCGTTACAAAGGAAGCCCAAAGGAGGAAAAAAGAGTTGCCTGTGGAGGAGGCTAATGAGAACCCTTGTCGCACTGTTCTGTGTGATATGACCACTACATACCATGATATCTAATCATGAAACTGACTGAATGCATTCAACCTCTGGGATATCACTCAGGTGAAGGCTACTGTACAGATTTGGCTATTTCCCTCGTACTTTTTTTAATATCAATTCCAACTGTTCAATTACAAGACAAACATATACATTAATTATACGTTATAAAAAAATATTCTACATTACATTGAAAAAAGCACCCTCGCACTAGTTATTGTAGTACGGGACAAAGGAAAGAGTTGGGAAGATGAGAATACTGAGGCTTCTAGTTTTGGATGGTGGATTTTAGAGAGGCTTGATTTTATCATGATGACATATTGTCTGTTTATAACTTATAACGACGAATCGATTCCTGACAAAAGGATCCACAATGATCGAGCGATGGAATTGGTCCTTGGTAGGAACACCCCTGCCAAAAGATTGCCTGCACTTAATAATATATGAGAGTACCTCCCCCGGGGATTAGATACATATACCTACGTATTATCGGGGAGACTGATATACATGCATCAGTACTTTCGGAGAACAATGCGTCCGCCATCTTGAAAAGTGAGACCCGAATCATTATGTTGTGCCTTAGAACACATTTTGTAGTTGCTAGGTCAACTAATCTATCATTATATCGTATAATAATAACTTGACATCAGCTGAGACGTTTCTAAATCCTTTAGGAGTTATAATTTAGTGATTCGAAAAGTGGGACGGACCCACTTTTCAAGATGGCGGACGCATTGTTCTCCGAAAGTACTGATGCATGTATAAGAGTCTTTCCCATTTTACGAGTGACGAGTGCTCTCGCAGGCGTAACAAAATAATAAGCTTGCATTGAGGTTTCTTTTCATGGCCAGGTGATGATACAATCATTTTAGGTTGCATCGTAAGTAATGAACCATTTTCACGCCAAAAGTTGGGAAGGAAGTTTTTTCACTTTTTACTCAAAACTAATTTTATTCAACCTGCACATGACCAAAAAATTTCTTAAAAAGAACGAAAAAGAAAAAAAAAAGATAAAAAAAAACGAAAAACGAAAAAGAAAAACGAAAAAGCAAAGAGAAAGACTACATATTTACCTTAAAATGAGTTTTGGCGCGAATTTTCATGTTCGGGTGTAGTCGTCAAAGCCGTTTGCGTCAAAACAACAACAACAACAACAACAACAACAACAACAAACAACCAAAAAAAATGAAACAAGAAAATTAATACAAACAGAATTGAAGCAGAAACAAAGCAGGTTTGAAAGAGAAATACAAAGGAAATATTATTATTTGACAGTATTACTATTAGTATTTGTTAAACTTGAAAATTGCGCCAAACCACCTCGACTCCTTTGCACCATGCTTGCAAATGTGTTTAGTAAAACAAAGGAAATAAAAGGAAAGAAATAATTACTTAAAGAAATATTCCTTCGTGTCAAAGAATGAAAATAAATCCTAAAAGTAAAGCTATTCGAAGTTTTACAACTTACCATTGTGTACGAAGTCGAAGGAAATTCCTCTGTTGAGCGTCCTTAATAGTTTCAAACGCTGCTTTAAAGAATTTGGCGAAGAAACAATTCTTTCGTAGATTTCATGAAAGAAAATCTGTTTGAAACTTGTTTCTGTAGACAAAAAGGAGCATTGTTAGTCAAAAGGAACATTGCTTAACAAATAAAATGTATATAAATTGCAACCATGTTCACGAGTTTTTGCGAACCGTGCGCATTTTCTCTGAAGTCCTAAAATTCTACATTTTGTCGTAAAAAGTCTTAAAAGTGATTTTTGAAGGCTCTGCAACCTAAATAAATGTATTACTTGACACTCAGAAGAGGTACACTAATTATTTCATTCACCTTTTTGAAAGTTTAACTGAGAATTTGTGCCAGCTTCTTGTGTTGGACGAGCGAGGATCGACAGAACCAAACTACAGTTCGGGACGGAAATGTCACAAAGAAAACTGCTTTAGGACTGCAGCACATGGGGGCCACAGCAAAGACTACCTAAAAAGGACAAGATTAGAATAATTAAAATAGATTTTCAAGAAAACGGAAGAGAACCTCTTACTTACTCGATGACCTGACCCCGAATGAGGGTACATTTGAGAGAAACATGTATAATGTAGCATTTCTGCGTGCATATTCAAAATGAGCCAATGAGAAGCTTTTGCAATATATGAAAGTTTCACTACAACCAATCACAAAGCAGGACATGACACTTGAGTGACAGTTAGTATTAAGGTATCTGGGAAGTGCTTAGATATTTGTCAGGGTCGAGTGTCAACAATTCGTGGAACACATTGTGTCCAGGTTACGAATTTTGTATAGAATTTTGCCGTGGAATATATTTTTATCAGCATCGTGATTTAGAAAGAAAACAACAACAACTATACTTTAAAGTTAAAAAAATAGAATCGTTCAGAAGCTGCTCGAGTCGGGATTAAACTGCCGCGATCGTCAGTTCGACGACGCTTTTCGAGTATGACTTGTGTGTAAAATAATAATAAAAAATGAACATGACTAGAACAACTATATTTTGGTTAAAAAAAATAAAGAAAAAAAATAAAAGGAGATTGAATGGGAGGGAGAAAGAAAGAAAGGAATATTTTTTTTTAAAATAAATCATCGAACCTGGGATCCTGTGTACCGGCTAAACTCCGTCGTGGAAAAAAAAATTAAAAAAATTAAGTCCAAAATTAAGACCATGCCTCAGGTTTTCGGCCTGGACACGGTAATTACGTCATCCTGATATTTCAGAGCTTTGTCGTCATATTTTCGTAATAAATATGACCCAAAACGAAATGACGTCACGTTGTTTCTATTTTTAGYWTCTGACGAACATTCTGTGTCAGCGGGCTTACCCAACCAAAGTAAAATTTCGTGAACGGCGGCCATCTTGAATTTGCAGGAAACTCTGAATTTTGTTGTTTTTGAGCTCGAATGCAAAGGTAAAATACATGGCGACGAACGGAACTTTGCAGGTAATTATTATTTTTATGCTTTGTTGAACCCTCGCGTCTAAGACAACTGCAGAAAGAGGTTGATTTTCGACCAACTTTGATATCCCAGAATGAGGAGGAATCGAGATCGTTCTTYTCAATTTTTGTATGTCCTTACATCATAGAAAGCCATTGAAATTGTCACAAAAGCAACAGAAGAAGATAAAGCAGGRAACTATGAKGAGGCATTGAAATTATACGAACATGGCGTTGAGTACTTTCTACATGCTATCAAATGTAAGTAAAGTAAGCTTTATGGTGGCCGGGTTTCCTTCGTTTCCTGTTTTGACGAGTCTGTCAGACGATTTTACTTTGTTGTGGACTTTGCTATTATACTTTTGTGTGAAAAAAGCTGACAAGTTTTAACACCGATTGCTTTCAAGAATATCACTAGCTTTTTTAATATTATTTATATTATAATATTATATAATATTATAAAATTTGATGACGATATATTATTTAAAGTTTTATCATGTTGATAGTCAATTTATAGTTTTGTCAAGCTTATTTAATTTGGCATATTATTGATTCTTACCACAAATAAAATCAAGTACATGAAAAAAGAATATAACTTGATCTTTAAATTCATGTTATTATTTCAAAAAAGACATACATATTTATGTATCAAGTTTTAATGCATT